CCCGAACCCGTAACCGAATTTTAAGATACCCGAAAGGTCTTTTTAGCAAAAATTGGTCTAATGAAGGGTTCTTTTGCAATTTGGCTACTTCGAGGGTTTTTTTGCACAAAACCCACTAACGGAGTTAACGGCTGCCACGTCATCGATACACGCGAGGGCTATATTGCGGGTGACTTTTGAGATGGCGTTATTGACTTGAATTTATTTGAGATAGAGGGTTTTCTTGCAAAAATTGGCTACTTCGAGGGTTATTTTGCACAAAACCCATATTTTGTACCATGTTCCTTGCATTATCAACATATATGAATTTTAAACTCTTGTCTTCCCTTGATATTTTGATACAATTCTTGGTTATTGTTGCCTTATTTGATAAAATATGAGTTGTCAATTTTGTTTAATCTGAAACTATCTAGAAATTATGGGTTTTTCAATTCATTTTGAGAAATTCTCTTAATGTCGTTAAAGAACTGTCTTTATAAAGCCCCAAGGAACGGACATTAGATAGCTCTTTCATTCTGCATTTAAATATAAATTGCCGCTGCTTCTACGATTAAATCATTAATATAACATAATTCATAGAAACAAAATTAAATATATCTTGTTTGCAAACAAACAAACAAAGCAGCTTAAATAATTCTTTGACCTGATTTATACAGCTTAGGTTGTGTAATAAGATGTGTGTTTGGTATTTTATATTCGTTAATTTAAGGAAAATACAAGATAGTATTCCAATGACGTCTTCGAAAGTAAGAAAAAGTATGCAGTCGTGCAAAATAGAATACGAGAGAGGAAAAGACTTGACCTTAACTGATAAACTCTAGACATATTTGATATTCACGTAAAATTTGTAGGTTTTAAACATAAAGAGAAACTAAGACTAATAGAAGATGAAAAGAAAAAAAAAGGAATCCATTTAGACGTATTTTTTATCGGGGAGAAAATAAAGAAGACAAGAAACGAAACATGATAGATGTAAAACAAAAAGGAACAAATCACACATCTTGGACTTGGATTTCTCAGTGCGTTATAAAATTTGAGAAATGGAAATCGTGAGTCATCAAAGACGAATGAAAACGAATCGATTCTATTTTTTTAAAACACACAAAGTTGGATAAGCTCTTATAAAGCTTACAAGCAATCATCTTACCTACAAGGCTACAACACTATCAACAATAATCTCTTTTTCCACAATTTATAGTTATTAAAAACAGGGTTGATGTGGCTCTTGAGTTTAAAACACATATTTGGAAGACTTGTCTCGTTCAGAATTAAACCCTTTTTACTTGCTTGCCTTAATACTTTCATTAATTAGGTAACTTAAAAATTACATAAATAGCTGTTAATGGGCTAACGGTTTAGATTTGTACTTGAAAACTCTTGAAGATAATTTTATTCGAGAAAAGAAGATTACCGAATCTGCTATAAGTCATATGTAAATACCATTTTCGGATGATATCCTTATTTGGCCAAATATTGACCATTTCCAATGGTAACAAACTATATAGCCACGATGACGTTCTCAAAAGTTTGCATTTGAAAATAATGACTAGTTGCATTGCTTCTACGGAAAATCAAACCCTTACTTATTCAATAAAGATGGCAAAGCCAAAGCTTATTCTGAGACCACATTAATTTTTGATGAGCTCTTCTTATTCACGTGAAAATTGAGTTTTCCTGAAAGCAAGGAACAGCGAAGAAACAGAGAAAGGTCCTCTGCTTTTCTAGCCCTCTCCCCACCTACACATTCATTACAAGACTCTCTTCTTATAACTCTCACACCTTTTGCATTTCTCTCTCCAATAAATGTTAATTTTGCTCTTTACCCAATCTGCAAGCAACTCCCAATCTATGAGGATTCACATGATAACCACAACTACTCTCAAATGACAACACAAATCTTTCAAACAGAAATAGTAATTGCTAAGTTCCATATATGGTCTCATGGCTTTGCTTTGGATGTTCGGGATACGTTAATCTGACAAATCTGTGTGTTGTTTTCATAAGAAACCCGCATATATTCTTTTGTGACACACGAAAAGAAAAGCATAGAATATGGAAATGTGCAATATTGGGAAGGCCTCTTTTGCTCTTTTTGTATTTGTATATGATGATGAAAAAGGAGAGAGACAAGTAAGAAAAAATAAAATTAAAAAATACTGCACATCTTTTTTCCTCAACTCAAAGCTTGCACTTTTCTACAAAACTAGCATCATGAGGAATCACAAACCTGTTTCCTCTGTGATGCCACTAATTCCTCCACCATAGGTCTTCATATGCATATGGAGGCTACTCAACAATTTCCTACCAGAATGGAACCAAACAAGAAACGGACACGTAAAGGTGGATTCATGCAGGATTAAAGAACAATGTTTGAGATCAGTGAGCCCTAGAATGACCAAAGGACGCAGATTGACTAGAGCTACAAACAATTTACCTCCATCGATTGCATTTCCAACTT